GTAGAGTGGACTCAATACTTTCCATTCTCGATTTCACCGACGCAGTTTTCAAGGCTTGATGTTGTCTTTTTAACTCTTCCGTGGAATTCTCGCCTGTCACTATGAACATGCTGTGTGTGGTAATAGAATCTACGTGCGGTGCTGATATTGATGTAGAAGCAGCAAACTGCTGTGGGGCTTCAAACCGTCAGTCGGGTACGCCTAGCCCTCCTTGAGCAGGGCAGAGTGACGAGCTGACGGAGATCACTAGGGAAGGGCTCCCTTTCACCGAATAGTGTTGGGAGAAGTAAGTCGTCAATCGCCTCTTGGATTGGGTCAACGAATCTTCAAACGACTCTATTGTACGTATGAAATAGGTAAACTTGGATTGTAACCCTTCGTGAATACAGTGTAGGCTGCATGGCTCCTTGCTATCTCAGATAGTGCTTCGAGTTCTTTCTAATAATAATAACATAATAATTAAAGGGGCTGTGTCACGGCAGTCCAGTTCTTTTTGTTTAATTTTGCCAATTACTCGCCCTCAATCGCTATGGAACTTAAAGTAAGCAAAGAAATGTCATGTAAATGACAAAATCAGAAATTCGAGACAAACAAATATGTCTCCTGAGCATTATTTTTGAAACTGCAAACAGCCTTGAAAAACTCAGTAGGCTGAACAGTTTTCAAAAACCCTAATTTAAATCCGTTTCAATCTTCTTCAGTTTTGCCCATCCGTAGAATCTGTTGTATCTGTTGTGGTATTTTAACCTTCCTTTAATGTTTTAAGTGATTATATTTATGTTTCTCTTAAGTTAAGAGGCATTTTGTAATTACTCAATATGGCTGAATTTCGTGACACAGCTCCTTTAATAATTAGTATTAATAATAATAATAATTACTAATAATAGTAATAATAATAATTATAAAAGTAAATAATCATTATCATAAAAAATCTCCTAGAATCCTTTGAGGCAATTTTTTAAAAAGTTTTAAACCTTTGACAATTTTATACGTACAAGACTGTTAGACCACAACAAGATAACATTTGCCATAAAATATCTTCCCATGTCTCATCTAAGGCAATGACGTCATCAGTCACGTGACTATTTTCGAATAAGGTTTTTCGTTGCTGCGACAAGATTTCATTAACGAGTGAAATAGTATACTTAAGGTTTTAGTTGTGTGGGGGAGTAATGAGCATGAGCGAGAAAGTCGGGAGACTAGGCCGAGGGCTGTAGAGAGTCAACCTTTTATCACTGGGCAAAGAAAATTTGCGGTAAAGTACTGTTTTACCTGACAATTTATTTCATGACCAAAAGAGGGACATGACGTCATAAGTGACGTGATCAAAGCGTTTGGCGAGTTTTTGCTGTTTTTCTCAACGATTCTTCACACTGTTTTGTCTCTGAATAATTATTATTCCATTTTCAAAGCAGAAAAAGGGAAAACTGTCAATCACCATAGAGAAGGAATATATATATATATATATATATATATATATATATTAATAATCACAGGTTATTAATTGATTATTGATTATTAATATATATATATATATATATATATATATTAATAATCACAGGAGTTCAGGCTTCAGGAGTAATCATTGATCTTTAAATCTATCCATTTTCTCTGGAAAGGTTTGTTAGAGTCTTGTAAAGTCCAAATATATTTTGATAGTTCCGTTTCATTTCTTCTGTTCGAGCGTCGAAAGGAGGACTGATGGTTTCTGTAACGTTCCTTAAAGTTTGTTGCCAGTCCGACGTAAGTTTCAGTTGTCGTCGCTGTAGTTACAGTGGCTTGGTAGATTACATTTGATTGGAGGCATTTTCCTTCGAGTGGACAATCTGGTTTCTTTCTGCAAGAAATGTAAAGCCTATAGCAACATTAGCAAAAAATGTAATCTTTGTCTTTATGAAAAGTTTATCATCATTTGTAAAAAAGAGCTTTGTAGCCTAAACAGGCGAAACGAACTAGCGAGTTCATGCCCCCACAGAAACAGATATGTACTTCAGAACTCTAGAGTAACGTAACTAAGACACAATCCATCTGTTACCTAGATACTATCTCTTAACGCATCCCTATATTTACTGCCAGCTTTTAATTTTAACGGTCAATCGTTGAAGTTGCCTGATGAGTGTGGTCCGACAATTTCGGACCATACGAAACAGCACTGTCGCAATAAACGATCAATGATTACTCCTGAAGCCTGAACTCCTGTGATTATTAATAGTCAATGCTCTTCAATTAAATGAATTGAGCGCTCTACGGAATACGTTCTACCCAGAATACAAGAATATTAACTTTTAGCTCTAACTGATTTTGAGGTTCAGGCTTCAAATCCCCTTGCAGCCAATTTTTTGTAACCACAGGAGCTCGGCTCCTGGTAACCATTACTTTTATTTTTATTTTTTTCTATTTTTAGAATATCTTTTTTACTCTTTTTTTTTTGCCTGTGTGGTGCATGTAGCTATTGTAGTAACATAATGTGGTAAATTGAAAGCAAAGTTTACAGGAATATAAAATAATGCCGTATGTATCATAGCGTATCTAACGGTATTTTTAGTAATACTGGAACTGTTATCATTACCAAGCTCAATCGTCGATTTTCACATGTGCCTAATTTAATTCGAGAGGTAACTGCTTTGAGATGGGACATCTGAATCTACTAAATTCCACACTTTCAAATTAAATTCGACTTTGTAGAATCTACGACTGAAACAGTCGAAAATTCCACTTAGGTTCAACATTTGATTTCGCATTGCTTTTCACATGTGGCGAATATAATGCATTAATTATAGAAACCATTATCCATATTGTAAAAAAAATTCAAGAGACTGGGAATATTTACAACTAACGGAGTTAAATTCGCACCATCATATCCGACTTCTGAATCAGCTGCCGTATTTATAATAAGTACTTTCATGGACTAGACTAGGTGTTCGGCACTCATAAGAAATTACCCGTTTGAAAGGGGCCTGGTGGTTTGCAGGCTGTTATTAAGTTGTTGTTTTCTTTTCAGTAACAGCAATTTGTATCTCTCTTTGTAAATCCATTTTATTAATCGACTTGTGCCGCGACTTAAGAATCAGCTGAAATAGTTGATTTTGCTTCCTCTTTGACATGATTTGTATGTCGCTGGACATGGTTTGTATATTAAAAAGAGCGATCAATTTTCATCCATCCATTTCAATATAAGCAAATGGAATCAGGGGCACCCAACTAGAATATAGTTCAAAACCACTTAAACATAGCATTGTTAAACGTATTTTAGCATTTAAACGGTAGATATAGGCATATTTTTATCCCCTAAAAATTCTTCATCTGTTCGCATTTCGTAGCTGAAAGTCTAGTGATGCGAAAATTATAGGGACCAAAACTTACCTTTTCGAAAATTTCAGCCAGAAAAAAGGCTTCTGAAAATTCTAGGTGACCTTTTTAGGGTAAAAATCCATTAAAAATGCGCAATTATACCATTTTTTAGATGTTCGAAAATCCTAGGAGAGGCAAGCAAGCAAGAAATTTTACAAAAACTGTTCCGAAATTCTAAATCTCAAATCGTCTTCCGAACAGATATTTTCCGAAAAGTGACGTTGGGTGCCCCTGATGGAATTACTTCTCAGTATTAATAAGGGCGATTACCTTTTCAGTTTCGGTCTCAAGTCTGGATATCACCATATCGATATTTTTCCGGATCACCAAACTTTTCTGGGTTTCTCTTGGGTTTTTTCTGGTACCGTTCGGTATTTTTGTTTTGCATCACTTCCGTTCGGTCTAAGCTCAGCCCCATACGTCTTTACCAAGTGTCTCAGACCACTCGTTAAGTTTTGGAGGTCTAACGGGATTAAAACTGTTGTGTTCCTCGACGATGAGTGCGGAAAAGGGGATTCACTGCCTATGGCCAAGGAAAATTCATTGTTTGTGCAATCATCCTTAAGCAGTGCGGGGTTTGTTGCCAACTCCGCCAAATCACTATGGAACCCCACTCAGGTGCTTGTTTGGTTGGGTTTAAACTGGGACTTAGTTATCGGTACCATTTCTGTTACCGATAGACGTATTTGCAAATTTATCGCTCTGATTGACAAATTTCTTCTATCCGCACCTTATGTTACGGCTCGGGATTGTGCCGTTATCGCAGGTCATGTTATGTCCATGTCGCCAGTTTTGGGTAACCTGACTCGTCTCAAAACCCGTTTCCTTTACAAAGTCATAGAATCCCGCCGTAGTTGGGATACCCGTTTTAATATCGGGCTTCATAATGATTGCCTCTCTGAAATATTTTCCTGGAAAAACAATGTCGTTAGTCTTAATACGAGACCTATTTTGCCTTATAATGCTCCCCTTTTGTTTAGCTATTCGGACGCTAGCAACGTCGCCTGCGGGGCTTTTGTTGTGGGCACTAATGAGGTGTCCCATCCTATGTGGACTGCTTGCGAAGCAGCTAAGAGCTCTACCTGGAGAGAACTTAAGGCTATACAATTTGCCTTAAGTGCGTTCAAAGCCTTGGTTCGGCGTAAGTGTGTAAAGTGGCATTCTGACAGCCAAGGGGCCGTTCGTGTTGTGGAGATAGGGAGTCCTAGTGCAGAATTGCATTCTATTGCGCTTGATATTTTCTATTTTTGTCGAACTTACAATACTTACACTTATTCCCCAGTGGGTTCCCAGGGAACTTAATGCTTGTGCTGATGCGATTAGCCACATTGTAGACTTCGATGACTGGTATACAACCCCCGAGTTCTTCGCACACTTGGACCGCCTTTGGGGCCCACATACAGTCGACAGGTTTGCGAATGCTGCCAACACCCATCTTCCCAGATTCAATTCTAGGTTTCGCGTACCCGGCACTGAAGCTGTTGACGCATTTTCAATCTCGTGGAATGGAGAGAATAATTGGCTAGTCCCTCCCGTCCACTGTTACTAGGGCGGTTCAGCATCTCCTTGAATGCGGTGCGGTTGGTACTTTAGTCGTCCCTTATTGGCCGTCTAATGTGTTTTGGCCTTTCTTGTTCGCAAATGCAACTCAATTTCAACCGTACGTCCTTGAGTACATTCATTTTCCCGACCCCTCAGGGATTTTTGCCCTCGGGTGTTACAAAGATTCACTCATTGGTTCAGACAGGTTTAACAGCACGGTGCTGGCAGTCAGAATTGGCGCTAAGGGGCCTTAGTTTTTTCAAGCCGAGTGGCTTGATGTTGGCCCACGTGTTTTTTATTCCGCTCGTCGGTTCATTTGCCCTCGTTTCGCATGAAACTAGCTCGCTGAGTGGCTTGTTTACCGTGGTTTTTGAGTTGGCCCATTCGGCCTTAAATAGTTTTGCATCCGGTCAGGGGCATTACCAAGCGTCCATTTTTTATTGCTGTATTGACTCCCAGTGCGTGTATTGAGGAATTTTGCCATATATTTTTGTTCTTATCCTCGTAGAAGTTCTCAAAGATGCCTTGCAGCCTAATTTTCAACAGGTTGAAGACGGGCGACTCCGGGCACTGGTTCAAGATCTCCCCGCAGTTCTTCTTAAATCCAAAGCCGACAGTACCGCGAGGAAGTACGAAAAGGGCTTCAATACGTGGAGAAAATGGGCTTCTCAGTTTAAAGAAATTGTTATATTTCCCGCTTCTAGTGTGTACGTTTCATTGTTCTTTCTTAGCTTGATTCAAGAATCTTCTTCTTGCAGCGATATTGACGAAGTCCATTATGGGCTCAAGTGGGTGCATGATTTGGCAGGTCTACCCGACCCCTGTAATTCCTCGTTAGTTTTACCTTTAATAGAATCTGCTAAGAGGCTTCTCAGTATCCCTGTTAAAAAGAAAGAGCCTGTGACCCCCGAGGCTATTCAGCTTTTATTTTCTAAGTATGGATCGTCTTCAGCTAGTTTGTCTGATTTACGAGTGCTTACTTTGTGCGTTTTAGGTTATGCAGGGTTTTTTCGCTTTAACGAGTTGGTTCAGTTACGCAGGTGTGATTTTCAGTTTGAAGATTCTTTTATGAGAATCTTTGTTCATCGAAGAAAGACTGACGTTTACAGGGATGGGGCTTGGGTTGTTATCGCTAAAACTTTCAAGCATACATGTCCTTATTTATTAGTTCAACGATATTTTGTGGCCGCTTCTCTTTCAGCAGACAGCGAAGAGTTCATTTTTCGCCCTCTTGTTTTTCTTCGCAGTACCGGAGCTTATAAATTGCGCGGGTCTGTTCCTTTGTCTTATACTAGAGCGCGGGAGTATAGTGCTTAGCGCTTTCGATTCCATCGGCCTTCCCAAGCAAGACTACGGTCTCCATAGCCTTAGGGCCGGAGGTGCCTCCGCTGCTGCTAATGCTCGAGTGCCTGACAGATTGTTTAAAAGACACGGCCGTTGGAAATCAGACAAGGCAAAAGACGGTTACATTAAGGATAGTGTTCATTCATTGTTGTCAGTTTCGTTATCACTGGGTATTTAATTTTCCGTATTTCCCGTTCTTTTAGTTCGCACACAGCTCGTGTTGACACACCCCAATTGAGGTTGCTTGTTACATGATAAATGTTTTATATTCGTTTGAGCGGGGTAGCGAATTAGAATATAAATGTATTTATCATGGGTTATGTAACCTTTTCTTTGGGGTGTTACATGGTATGCTGTTCTGTTGCTTCATTAGCGGTTGGCTATATATATTTGAGTTGTTCTCATTTATATTCATTCGCGTCTTACAACCGTCCCTACCGTCCTCAAAATTAAATACCCAGTGATCAGGGGTTTCTCTTAGACGTAGTTTTTTGCATGCTGCTGTATGAAAGGTTTAGCACGTTTTGTATGTTTACTGAATGATTGTTATACGAGCATAGTTTAGATCTTTTTGTTGGGTTGTTTTTTCTTGCTGTAATTTTTTACATTTCCGAGTTTTCATTCTGTTTGTTGTATTATTTCCATCCATTCTGTTGACGAAGGCATAATAAAGAGGGTCGCACACAGCTCGTGTTGACACACCCCAAATGAGGTTCCATCCTTGTTACATGATAAATGTGTTATATTCGTTGGAGCGGGGTAGCGAATTAGAATATAAAGAATTTTCTTTGAGGATTGTAGGGATTTTTGAAGGGACTGGTTCACGATAATGCGCATGCGCGCCGTTTGTCTCTTCAGAATAAATTTGTCGGGTCAGTACTAAATTCGAAATCGCCATTACCGGTACAATCATTGAAAATCCTTCGTTTTATTCGGACATCCGTCGCTTTGGCTGGTCTAGTTATACTTCCGTAGTGGTGATTAACGTGTAGTTGTGTCGTTTGACTGGTTACGTTTTAAGAAGACGCAGAAAATAATGTTTTGATCATGGAGGTTCAGAAGAGCATCGTGGCCGTCCGGCAACAGGACGTTCTCAAGAGTCTTTGGAGATAGAGAAGCTTAGCCTATCGATCTGGTATGGTTCTAGGAGTGTGTGGCTTACGAAAAGAATACACGACACTTGGAAAGTGGTTAAAGGCATGAGTTCGTTCAACTTTGAATTGATATATGACTCCGACCTGTAGTTATACCGCAACAGGCCGCGCGATCTTCACCGATCTGGTACACTTGAAATGTTCCTTGTATCTTTGCTTTACGATCGTATATGCTTAAGAATTGATGTTTTTAAAATAAATTATTGCCTGAATATTCTGTTTATAATCTAGTTTCTTTATGTGCGCTACTCGATAACATTTGTTTTGCGGAACACTGACCCGATGCAACGCGAATGAATTTGTTAATTTGCTGATAAGAAATTGAAATTTATGCTCAGTGAAGGATAATCTTTATGCTCGTACGTTGTGTGTTTTGTCACCGGTCAGGCGCTATTTGTAGGTATTTCTGGGTTGATATAAGGCGAACTGAGAGAACAGTAATAAGATGTTTGTTTACAAATTTTGTTTGCCGATCGGTGACTGTTTTGTTAGCGTGGGTACGACCTCGTAAAAATACACGTTGGTAAATGTTTGTTTCAAAGCAGGACAGGACTGTGAATCTTATTCTTATCGGCTGTAACATATATCTGAGGAGTAGCAACGAATAAACTTGAATTATGGGGATAAATAAAATCAAACCAAATGCCCGGAAGTACTCTCGCGTCGCGAACAATTAATTTGCAAAATGCTCTTTTTTCTGGAAACAGATATTGACAATATCAGCCCATGTCTGTATACGTAGTCGGTTATATTTTTCCTGTCGGTAGTCGGTAATTTTTAAATCATTTTGTCGGTAGTCAGTAATAGTTTTCGCCCTTTGTCGCGAGTGGGTTAACCCCATTCATATATTTTTTTTACAGTGGATCTAAACCTGGATATTACGAAGGGTAAGGGAACTTGCGAAAACTGGTTCGTAATATGGAGGTCTCGTTATATCGAGGTTCTTTTCCGTATATTTTCCTATTATCGGGTAAAGAAAATCGTTCGTTATACCGAGGTTTTCGTTATATAGAGGTTCGTTATTATCTCTAGGTTCCACTGTATTTATTAGTTAAATACGTATGTTAATTTGGTTCATATAATTCATAATTCTGGTACTTTTTACGTTCAGTTTTGGAGAAAGAGATAAAATTAACCCTATTCCGAACCAGGCCAGATTATAATGATTTACAGTGTAGGTAATCTGAGATCAGGCCCAATTTGAGCGGTTCTCATACATTCTCTCTAACGGCTACCGCTTTAGTTTGGCCATGCCCGCCGGAATGTTATTTACAAAGCGAAAAGAAGTAGAGCCTGATCTCAGGTTACAGTGTAAGTACGTAGTGTCTGAAAATAAAGCTAGTTAAGTAGGATTTCAGAATGAGCTTCCCTGCTAGCAGAGGTCTCTCACGACGAGGCAAAAATGAGTCGTGACAGACCTCTGCTAGCAGGGAAAGAATGAGGTAATTGTTTCGACATTCCAGTTTCCCACTCGTTCCTACCACGAAGAAAAAATGTTGCTTCCTTTTTTTATCTTCGTTTCGGATTGCAAAAAAAATACTTAAGTTTTGTTTGCGTGAGGCACCGCATTCTCTGCGACTCAAAAATTCTTGTGGTATGGCCTGTGTGACTCTGGCACGGTTTTCCTCACAGGTTCAATGTCCAGCTTTGTGATGGGTTTTAAAGCTTTGTCTCGAGTTCCTGAGAACATACCTTTATTTAAAACGAATTTTCCTAATACGATTACTAATTTAAAGTACGGTGGCTTTAAAGCTAATTTAAACAACTTAAGGGGCGGGCTGAGTAATTCCTGGCTAGTTCCTTTTGTTCCTAATGCTATCACAGGAGCATGATAATATTTGTATCCCTAAAGAAATTTCGTCGTTTATGGATTCATCTAAAAAAAACAACTGACAAACAAACAAAATATGGCGGAGTTATTGACAACTGCGACTGCTATCACTGTGAGAAGCGAAAGGAATGCTGCAAACACAAAAATCACAGAACTTGGAAAACTATTACTATGCTAACAAGTGTTCAAACTCCACAATTGCAATCGGCTTTCAGTCCTCTTCAAATTTGTTTTCCTGTGTTATTTATACCTTATTTATAGCATGTAAAAAAATACCCTCAAAAATTTGACGCCTTGAAAAAATCTCCAGCGGTTTTAAAGTTAATTTAAACATTGTAAGGGGCTAAGTAATTGCTGGCTAGTTCCTGAGGGTCTGAATGGGGTTAACCGATGGGCGTAAAACGGCCAAAAAAATTTAGTCGATAGCCGTAAAATTGAAAAATTTTAACCGTTAGCCGTAAATAGGGTAAAAGAGAGTTAACCGTAAAAAGAAATTGTTCCCTAGCCTAGATTTGTTAAATTTAAGGAAGGTGCTAAACTCGCTTATGGTTGCGTTTTTATATTTCCAGGCTACTTTTGACTCCGTACGCGCGTTAGGCCAAGCGCCTTTTAGGTGTTGACCTAGACCTATTTAGGTGTTGACCTCCATTTCCGCCGTTCTCTCGAATAATCAAGTTTTTTCCATAGCAAAAATCTGGTTTCTTGCTGAGGATTAATATTTGTGATTTTCAGGGGGTTATGCCCTCGGAATACTGCTGAAACAACACGCAGAGATGTCACTGTTTGTAAAACACGTTGCCGATAAACAACAATTCCCTGTTTTTCTCTGCCGCTACGGTAGACATTGCCATGCCTATTCCCTGTACGGCATCTTCCCACGCAATCCCGGTCAAGGCATTTCGGTGGCGTATCTAAGAAAAAAAAACGCTCGCTCGGACCACGTGACCCGAAACGCATGAGCCGCGCGGAATAATGAGGCCTATGGACAAGGCAACGGCAGAGAGTTGTTCTGTACAGTCCTTCGCTACTCGACACGGGAATTTTGTTACTGGCGGTTTTAACACTAGAGCTAGAAATGGATTATCCGTTTGAGACTAGCCTGTGTACAGTCGCCCCCTCCTCCACAGACACCCTTCTCCGATTTTTTCTGAGGGGAAGGGGCGGATGTACACAGGCTATCTGAAACGGATAATCAATCTTCAAACTGTCTGTCAAAATTGACGGATAAAGTCAGGCGACGAATAACCCGTCTCACACGAATAATCCGTCTTTAGTGTGAAAAGGGTGGTTCATTGTTATAAATGAATGCGCCCTGGCCTTGAGTTGGGCGTTCGCGTATCTGCTTTTACTTTTTCACAAAGATTATTTTTAAATTGACTATTGACATTTCTATGCGTAAAATAATATTAGAGGTGGAATACTTTATGAAAAGTATGATCTATCAAATGTTAAAACTTTTCAAAAGAATAGCTTATTTCATCCCGAGATGATCCTAAGGCCTTTATTTTGCTTTTTTGTATTTAGTAATATTTAATTTTTAACTTTTTTGTTAACCGTAACTGAAATAAAAATTAACCGATAGCCGTAAAAGAGCCAAAATTTTAGTCGATAACCGTAAAAGCCACCACCCCATTGAGACCCTCGTTCCTTTACTTCCTAATGCCAACTCCTTCAGGACTTAATGAAAATCTGCTGAATCTGATCACAAGAGCATGATAATATTTTTATCGCTAAAGCAATTTCGTCGTTTATGGATTCATCTAAGAAAAACAAAAACAACTGACAAACAAACAAACAAAATATGGCGGATTTATTTCATTTTGAGATGTGAAAGGACTGTTGCAAACACAAAAATCACAGAACTTGAAAAACTATTACTATGTTAACAAGTTTTCAAACTCCACAATTGCAATCCGCTGTCAGTCCTCTTCAATTTGTTTTCCTGTGTTATTTATTATGTTATTTATTTGCCACTGTTTGAGTTTTTGATAAATCTCCTCACACTGCTCGATCCTTTAAATAAGCTAATTTTAATGCCACGCGATTTCTAGCTCCGCCAATCAGCTTCAAAGAGAAAACTTAAAAAAAAAGCTATAATGATTTCTTTAAAACAGTGAGCGAGTATTTGAATAGCACTGTTAACCCAAGCAGACAAATAAGGCACGAATTCAAGTCAAAATAATTGCAACTTTG